GATACACGAGAAAATGTTTAGGCAAAAATATTATCCCCCCCCCCACAACACCTCAAAAATATAGAAAAATCTGAACATAAAAATAAATAAATAAAGTCTATAAAAGATTTGCTGGTTATCGAATGTCACTTAAATTGAAAGTGCTAATAAATTGTCTGCACTTATTTGAAAATAAATTTAAGAAAAAGTTTTTGTTTTTTTTTTTACGAAAAAATCATAAAAAAATGTGTTCTTTAAGTCAATCAAATCCTTCTTCATTTCATTTTATGAAAACTTAATATCTTTTCGATACTGAAATCATATGTTAGATTCTATGTCCAGAAGTAAATGATTGATTTTTTTTTATTTTTTCACGGGAGATGTAGAAAAATTTGAATCCGAAAAATAAATGTGAAAATAAAAAAAAGAGAAAATCAGGAAATACGTTTTTTAATGAAATAAAAATTTATTTTTTTATTTATTTTTTATAAAAATACTCTCAAAATTTTACTAAATTTCATGAACTATACAATATTCGGGAGAGAATTACTGTTTTTGACGACATGAAAAGCAAAAAAAAAACAAAAAAAAACATAGGCCCCTCTCGTTTCAGTTGGAGAAATTCAAATATATTTTTAACTATATTAAAATAGGTTTTAAGTAATAAAAAAAAGACAAAAAAAAAAAGCATTAAAAACACTTTCTCTAAAACATAAAATGTCATTGTATATAAAAATCAAGATTTCAGTTCAGGTTAACATCAAGCAAGAAATCGCCTGCATTATTTGTCTTGCATAGTTTGATGGGCATATTTCTCGGCAGCTTTCATATTATCTTTGCCAAGGTAGTGTTTTACCATTAACAATCTTTCCTTTCTCTTACAGATTACTTCTTTAGTTTTCCTCCGTATGGTTAATGATAAAAATATTTTGAGGCATATTTGCGTATGAGGTATCAGCTGGTTACATTGGACATTTTTAAAGCATTTCACCCCAAGCAAGCCCGAAGTGCCACTAGCACGCAAGAGGTTACAGAGTGTGAGAACAAGAGTAAAGAGGGGTGTTTGAAGAAAGGATATAGAGAAGGACAGGGATCAAGATCAACGCATCAGAAGATATCAATTGACATTACATTTGAATATTTGAAGATTATAGCTATCGGGGAAGCAAGTAAGAGGAAGGGAGTTTCACTGTCGGGAAGTGCGAGAGTTGAAGAGGCGGTTATATTCGACAGTGAAATGGTAGGACCGAGATGCCAACCTTGCAGCACGCTTAAATTCATGCAGTCTGGGTACCAGTGAAAGTAGCTCGCCAGAGTAGTTGCCATGAAAATAATTGTAGAAAAGACAGAGGGAAGAGGAATTACGTCTGTGAGAAACGAGATGCCAGATCAGGACCTATCACATCGCATATCCGTCTCTGAATTTTGTCCAAGACCTCGAGATGAACAACCATGGCACCAGACCATAAATAGAAATTTATTATAATAATTCTTCTAGCAGAAATAATAATAGTACTATCTGTTGATTAAATAATATCAGGGTTTTAGGAAAAATGACTGATATAAAATTATAGTCAACGGAATTTACCCCATGGTATAAAATTAACCTACGAAAAGACTCAGTTGGATAGAAATTTTAATCATTTTTTTTTTTTTTTTGCGGGGGGGAGAAAAATGGTGGTGTTTTATATGTCATCAAATATGGCCATTTTTAATGACATTTTTTAGTATGTGCAGACGTCATACATTTAGTAGGTATAGAAGAATGAGAAAATAAAAATTATTTCTTTTGATTATCTTTTGCACTTTTGGGATACAAACGCCTACGGACAAGAAAAGATTGCTACTTTTGGTCACCCATACTTCAACTTTACCATCATACACTTCTAAAGATATTCAGACTTAGAAATCGTAATGGAAGTTATTTTGAAAGACAGGGGAAAGTAACTGCCACTTTTAAACATGATTTTTTTCTTTTCAATCTTTGTTTTATTTTCTTATTGTTATAATCAAATTTAAAATTAAGTCGATACATAAATTATTGCTATACTTTTTATTTTTTAATGGCATGGAGGTAAATATTTAGATATTTTGCGAATGTTGAAGGCCCTCTCGCATTAGATGCAGGAGACATACAATGACACTCAAGTGTGCGCTTTTGAAATTATAACTTGAGAACGACATGTCCCACCTTATAAAACAGATTTAGAAGCCATGGTCAAGCGTAGTTATGTTATGGCTTTCTATTAGGCTTCTAATTTCTTTGGCCAAACCAACTCTAGGGGTATCCTACTGTTTAAATTGTGTGCTCAGCCTGATCTGAGTAGATCAAACCGCTGTTTTTGGTCAATACGAAAATACGGCGCAGCTTATTTTAAGAACTGTTTTACTTCAATTAACATCTTTTCTATCAGTTCACTCCCAGTAATATAAAGTTACTTATCTCAAATATTAATTCAGCCGAAGAAATTATAAAATTTAAATCAAAGTTTGTTTTTTTTTTTCCATTTTTGGCACACTTTTGAAATTATAAATTAAAATTTGTTTAGCGTGCCATCAAGTTGTTGGAGTTAAGACTCCACATTATAGGACACAATCCGAAGCTGTATTTGATATAGGACTACGATTATGTCTGAATGTTGGAAAGGATATACATCTTTGAAAGATGATCTCAATTATATTTCTCTGATTATAAATCACAATATGAATTCCGTTAATCCAAAAATATCAACTCACACGCAAACAATCGAAAGTGCCTGGTGGAACGCTAAAATGATCAATAAGTCCATGTTCGGGAGCATGATCATCGTAGCATGATAGACTCTTATTTGTTTTAGTTCTTTTGGAGACGTAAGGCAAAAATAACAATGAATGTATTTCTAAACAAATTTTAAAAGACATTTCTGAATATTTGGTGTGAATTTTAGAAAATATAATACTTAAGATCTCGTCAAACATTATTTTCTGTCGTTTCTTTAGAGATGTAAGGCAAAAAATAACAATGAATGCATTTTTGAACAAATTTTAAGGGATATTACTGAATGTTTGGTGTGAATTTTAGTAAATATATATTTTTTTTAATTTGGTGTGAATTAACAGAAAAGATCCTTGACTGAATTATGTTTTAAGACATAGTCCTATTCTACCTTATAATATTGCTAATTAAAATACTTAAAGTATTGCTTACTACCATTTTTTTACTCTTTCGGTGAAATGTCTGTCGGCCAAATGTCCGGCGACGTTTGAATTTATGAATTTTAATTCAAAGTTTATTTGTGTTTTTATTAAATTTTTGGCACTTTTTTGAAATTATAAATTTTAAATCAAAATTTGTTTAGCCTGCCATGAAGGTTGCTGAAGTTAATATAAGGATGCAACGACAAGGAGAGTGGGATTTTCGCTTCTTACAGAGAGTAAATATTCTTCCTCCGTCGATGAAAAGCTCTAAAGGACATGATATGTGTTTGATCTTAATCCCTATCATATTTATCTGACTATAAATCATAATTTGATTTTCCTTGGCCCAGGAACATCATCTTACATGCAAACAATCGAAAGTGTCTAGTGGAATGCCAAAAAGAACAATAAATCCATGATCGGGACACATCACAGCATGATGGACTCTTATTTCTCAGAGTTCCTTTCGAGATGTAAGGCAAAAAATAATAATGAATGCATTTTTGAACTAATTTTAAAGGACATTTCTGAATTTTGGTGTGAATTTCAGTAAATATAAATTCTTTTTATTTTGGGATGAATTAGTAGAAAAAAATCATTGATTCCTGTAATTACTTTTATATTTTAAATAAGTTCCAGTGACAAGTATTTTAATTTCGCCTTTCTCCATTTGAGCATTTAAACGGTTTTGGCAAATTTATACAGAAAATAGAGGAACGATTTTTGGAATACACACTTTAAAAATAATAACAATAACGATAATAAAAAACAACAAAAGAAGTAGTAGTAGTAGTAATAATAATAATAATAATAATAATAATAATAATAATAATAACAACAACACAACTTAAGAATTATCTATGTCACTTTGGTCGTCTTCACTTCTCAGTGAACCGATTTGCAGAAACACGAGGCGATCTGTAGAGGAAGCCATTTTCTTTTGCTCCGTTTGACAGTAAGGTTATTCGACAGAAATACTTTGATCAATCACGTAGATATCAGATATTCTTTGACAATTTGTGGAATATCTTTAATTAAAATATTAATAAAAAAAATAAACAAATAATAATTTTGGGAGCCAATCAATATTGATGATTTCTGAATTCCTGTGAACTGAGTTATAACGCTTTGCTAAAACGTGAGGTGATCTTGATGAGACACCATCAGCGTTTGTTCGTAAGTCTTAATAACAGAAGTTCCTCACTCGGTCACATGACTTTTATTTATTTATCTATTTCATATGTTGGATGAAATGTTATAAGGTAAATAATCCCGTCATTTTTTAGTTTACCCTGCTAATATGTAAATATAGAGTGCCCAGCATTAACTGCCTGTTAATCTAAGATTGAATATTATATTCCTTAAAGGGGGCGCGTCATTTCCCAAATTTATCGATTAATCCTTTACCGATTTTTGAGGTCACAAGGTCACTACGGCGAATCTCGAGATCAGTTGCCAATACCTGTCCAAAGTAGGTCTTGCGATGCCAAATATTAATTTGATTGATTGATTCCATTTTTACGGTTTATCAACCCGTTGCAAGATATTTAAAGCCATAAAATAGTTTTAAATAGTTCCGTGATCCAAATCTTATTAATTAACCCATAGCTGGGGGGTAAGAGTTGGACTCATATCTCAACAGAATTTGATAAACAAGAAAGTATAAAGTGGATATAAAGTGGGGGATCTATTCTATATTACAATCAATATATAAAATAGTCCCTCACTTTGTGGCAAAAGGTATTTGCGTGTAAGTGAATATAATGAACCCAAAGGGAATTGGATCTCGGCTCTCCGATTAACAATTCTTAGCTATTATTCATTATATCACACTCACATCCAAGATTGCAGCACTTGATATTTCCAAACGGTCACCCATCTAGGGACTGACCAGTTTCAACATTGCTTAATTTCGATGATCGTACGGGAACCAGTGTTTTAAGACTCTGAATATTAAGATCCGATTAAATTCTCTTGATCGGGTGTGTACGTAAGATGACGATAATGATAGATTTTGGAAGGAAGCTATCAGAAAAGCCTTTCCGGCTTTGAGAAGACTGCACTAGGGTGACTGTCAGGTCCCCTCTTTACCCTGAAATGAATGTCCCTTCCATAGCAAATGTCGACAGGCTCTGGGAGTTTTTTTGTTAAGTAAATACTCCGACACCCGACCGTGTTCGAGAAAGACGCGTGTTAGGTAGCCGTACGAGGCAATTTGATCAGAATGCTCGGATTGATGAGGTGGAGGTTATCGTTCCCTATGGTCGTTGGCACCTTTTTTGATATTGCTTCTTTAATAAGAAGGCATCCTTGGCCTGGCTGGTGATTAGATGCGCGCTCTTTCTTTGGCAATGGTACTTATTGCTTCATCAGAATGCGTCCGTTGCGGTGATATGGGCAAGTCCATCGAGAAAACTTTCTTTCCCTACACGGTCGTACGCCCACCGTGAACTTGTTTGAAGGCTATATGCTTTGCATCATTCGTCGACAGTTCTTTATCTTGGAATCCAGTTCTGTTTAGAGTAACACAGGCCTGTAGCTTGACAAAGAGATACTGTATATGCTTCTGTATTTATTAGCCGTTATACGAACAAATGTTTGCCTCTTTCTCCCCATCATCTCAGTACTTAGATGGGTGACTACTTGGGAATACCTGGTGCTGTAAATTTGGATGTGTCTGGGATGTAATTGATGATGCGGTGGTAAACAAAAACTAAATGCTATCAATGTATAAAAATACATTTTTATAGTAAAAATAACCGCAATATATTTATATATAAAAAATTACTAATACTCATTTATAGTAGAATTAGCAACAATACATTTTCAAAGCACACAATTGCCTTCAAAATATTTTGATTTCGGCATTAAATAACTCATAGAAGTGTTGATATGCCACGAAACAAAATCAACCAAATAGTCAAAATAAAAATAAAAACATTCATTACGTTAATCCATATAATATCCTACAATTTCTTAAATCAAACTGTATTCCAGGATATAACTTCAACAAAACTACAACAAAAAATGACCAACAATACCTATTCATAGTAGATTTACTAATAATACATTTTATAGTAGAATTACCAACAATACATTTTATATGTAATCTTGCATTCGAAATATTTAGATTTCAGCATTAAATAATCCATAAAAGTTGATATGCCACTAAACAAAATCAATGAATCAAGCAATCAAATAACCAACATGAAAGAACTTTAATCCATATAATATCCATACAATATATATATATATATATATATATATATATGTATATATATATATATATATATATATATATATCCTACAATTTCTTAAATTAAACTGTATTCCAAAATATAACTTCAACAAAACTACAACATAAAACACATATATAACAACTTCTAGTAATTATGCACACAAACATGAATGTGCACACAAGTTGAGCATCATCTACCATGTATTCAATTGCGAAAGTAAAATAACATATTTTTATTACTTCAAAGCTCTGAAGAAAATTAAATATTGACATTAAATGATCCATAAGGTGCCATTAAACAAACAAATCAATCAATCAAGAATTCTACCAATTCCACTAGTTTACTCACATAGAAATGTTTTTATTTTCTATTAGATCAAATCATACGAAATTTCAGCAACTATTGAACTGGGTGTTAAACTAGAATTATGACTATGATCCAAAGAGTTTTGAGTTCAATACAAGGCTACAGCAGTGGTGAATCAGAACTTGGAGAGTCGCGTTGTCATCGCCTCTGGTAATCATGTCCATACAAACCAGTATATGCACAAAAGCGGGGTATCATCTACCATGTATTCAATTGTGAAAGTAGAATAACATATATCATATTTTTATTACATCTCAGCTCCGAAGAAAATTAAATGACCCATAAGGAGTTGATGTGCCGTTTAACAAATGAAGCGATCAAAATCCTCCTGCTATGCTCTACCTTTACAAGAATCAGATCAAACCGAAAATCTTGTCACATCTGGGGCTGGATCATCCCGGTGTTCACTTTGCCTTGTAGCTGATGTATATTTGTTCCACCTTAAAACCAATTCCCCGCAGCTGAAACGTTAGAATGCTCTTCCAACTCTATCGCTATTTGCACGGAAAATGTGCCGACGAGCTACATTCCTTAGATCTCCCAACTCTAGCCCCACCCCTGCTAAGACTAACCACGCCGCGTATATCGATACAAACCACTCACATTCCTTTTTGTTTCCTTTAGTTCCACTCGGATAGATTCTTCCCAAGAACGGTTAATTTGTGAAAGGGAATCCCAGGATGCTGATTTACCGATGACTACAATCTTAATCTTAAGTCTCGTGGGGATCAACCGTTATCGTTCATGCACATATCACAGATACAAATACAGAAGCATATTACACTTCACTGTTTAAATATGATCACACATATACATTTTTTTAAGTGTTTCACCCCAAGCAAGGCGGGAAAACACTAGCACGCAAGGGGTTACAATAGGAGTTATAGAGGAAAGGATGAAGAGAAGGATAGGGCATAGATCAAGGCATCTTGAGGCGTCGATTGACATTACATTTGAATAGTTGGAGATTATAGCTATCAGGGAAACAGGAAAAGGGGAGGGAATTCCACAGGCGAGAAGTGCGAGACATAAAGCTGTTGGAGTAGAAGTACGGCTACATTTAACAGCTTCGACGCTGAAAGGGTGAGAGCGAGATGCCAGCCTAGTTGAATGCTGAAATTCATGAAGTCTGGGAACCAGCGAAAGCAGCTCATCGGAGCATATATAATATACACTTGTATATACACATATACATATACGTGCACATAACAGCAACGCATATGCAGACATTGCATATATATATATATATATATATATATATATATCAACACTTGCACATAACGATCACACATATACAGTTTGCGTTAGGAGGCACCCCGAGGAGTTGTAATGGTTACCAAGCTTGTCTCGTTCTCACAATTACGAATGAGTCGTGAGTTCGATCCTCACTGAGTGCCCCATAGTTTCGGCCTTGTGCCACATCTAAGCTACTCTTGGAAAATCGCTATAGAGTTTGCGATGGATAAATTGCCGTCAAAATTACGCAAAAATGAAAATAACTCTGAAATTATTTTTTTACAGATATATTTACCAAAATTGCACAAAAATATCTTGAAATACTAAAGAGTAAATTTATTCAATAAAATCGCCATTGGCTTCAACCACAGCCTCCAGACGACTTCGTAATCTTTTGCAACTCTTCTGAATGATCTCCTTGATTAAGTTGCTCAATCCTGCCATAATAATTGCCTTTAGTTCATATTTGCTGTTACAATGAGCATTGTTGATCTCTCGATCGATTGCACTCCACACATAATAACTAAGTGGGCAGCAGTCCAGAGAGTTAGGTTGTCAAATGTAAGGTGTGATGTGGTCGCAGAAATTGTCCGACAGCCATGACTGGGTCCTCCTGTTTGTGTGGCATGGTGCAGAGTCATGTTATCAGATATATGGTCTTGTAGCAGTCACCCTCTCGAAACAGAGCAATACTACCTCCTGAATGCACTTGATATGGGCCTCCGTGTTGAGTCTGAGGCCCTGTGGGGAAGATGAACAGAGGCATAACGTCGCAATCACTAGTGATTACTCCAAACGCCATGATGTTGACTGGATATATCATCCAACTCTTTCCCAATCCTCTGTATTCTCCGCTAACTGACACTAAAACACTCTGAAATGTTCGTAATGGAGCTTCCGGTGCGAATTCCAAACAGTACGGATTGCCATTTCCAAATTTCTGACGGAGATAATTGCGTTATGGTGTTCTTTTTCTTATAGACGGTTCCTAACTGACCCGACTATATTTTGCAGTCGACATGATAAAAAAAAAAAAAAGACAAGCAGCACGCATGCACAAAATTAGATATATAAAATGGCGACAATTTACCCATCGCACCCTGTGTATACATCTGCATATATATATATATATATATATATATATATATATATATATATATATATTTAGTTTATGAAAACTAGGTAATCCGTATGGGTAAACCTAAGGAGGATAAAATCTAGAGAGCTCAATGTAAATCCAGAGCAAATAATTTAAATAAAAACAGACCCGTTTCAGGTTCCATGTAATAAATTATTTCACCACAGCCCTTTTAAAAGGACTGCGGATCATCAGACTTTACTTCCAAACAAAAAATGAAAAGAAAATTTACACATTTTTGACGGGCCGTGTTAAACATATGTAAATTAACGAAGTGAGGAAGTGAGGGGGGAGAGAGAAGACATGAGTGAGTTAGCAGATATTGACACATTTAAACGGTTAACTTAACGGAAGTTATATATTGATATCGAAGGGGTAGAGGAGAAAAAACCCATAGAGAGAAAGAGATAGAAGGAAATTAAGAGAGAAGATGTCACTAATTTTCTTTGTAAAAAAGGCAAGAAACAGACGCTGTTATATTGCTTTACTTTGAACGTGTTATTTTGGGGGTTCATAAAGATTATAATATTTGATATAAATTTAAATGTCTCTAAACTGTCTACAAATGCTTTAATTTGATGTTTGTTAGTGATTTAAATTTTTCATAAATTCTGGGGATTTTCTATGAAATAGTCGATTAGAAAAATATTCATAGAAAGTACATTAAAAGAATAAAATTTTATTTTAAAATATAAGTTTACTTCTAGTAATATATATATATATATATATATATATATATATATATATATATATATATATATAATCTAGTAATCTAGTAATATATATATGTATAATCTAGTAATATATATATATATATATATATATATATATATACACACACGTGCACGTAATCATCGTACGTATACATGCGCTTGCACATACACATATCCATATATTTCACGTTACGAACACACATATACACACACATGCGTTTGTGCTAGTATTAATATGTGAAGAAGACAGA